AATTAGATATATATAAAATATAAATAATAATAAAAAGTAATTAATACAAAATTAAAAATAATAAATATGAAATAAAAGAATGAATAAAAATAAAAAAAATTAAAAATAAGGTATGTCTAAATTAATAATGTGATCTATATTTCATATTTAATCTATTTGATGAAATATTAAGAAGTATTAAATATAGATCTGTATTAATTTTTAATATGTTATGCAAAAAATAATAAACATAATACTAAAAATAATGAACATGATACAAGAAAATACAAGAATATATGAAAATTATTACAATTCCTTAAATAGTAGAAATGAATTTATTATCTTTGTCATATAATAATTTCTTAATAAAAGTTTCAAAAATAACAAAAATAATTTTTATTGGTCAAGATATTAATACTTATTTAATTTTAGAAAAATAAATAACAGATTAAAATATTATAATGTTTTTGAAGATTTGGTTAAGTCTTTATAAACTAATATTACAATATATATTTAAACTCATAATGCTGCAAAGTGTTCTAAATAATAAATATATTTGATTGATCAATTATATAATTAAGATAATTAATATTTTTCATTATTGATATCAATATATTTCAATTATTAATTTAATTTTAGAAAAATAAATAACAGATTAAAATATTATAATGTTTTTGAAGATTTGGTTAAGTCTTTATAAATTAATATTACAATATATATTTAAACTCATAATGCTGCAAAGTGTTCTAAATAATAAATATATTTGATTGATTAATTATATAATTAAGATAATTAATATTTTTCATTATTGATATTAATATATTTCAATTATTAATTTAATTATTTAATTGATTTTTTGATATAATTACTTTGATATTTTATTATTAATACTTATTTATATAATTTATATATTATAATAATTCAATTTATTTCTTATATTTATATATTTTATAATAATTTAATTTATTTCTTATTTACAAATAACTTCACATACACATTATTCTTTATCATTTTATTTAACTATTTAGCTTTTTATATATAAATGTTATTTTAATTTCAAAAAGAATAATTTTTTTAATTTGATTTCAAAATACAACTAATTGAATTGAATAATTATTATAATATTAATATGAATAAATAAAAATTAACCAATATTTTTTCATTCTGTTGTTTTTGTACACAAATAACAAGCAAATTTTTTATTAAATATCTATAACAATAAGTTGAAAGAGTAAATAGACTTCTAATTCTTATATTGATATCTATAGATATTATTTAGTATGATGATAAAGAGATTTTTAGAAGAGAATTTGGCTGGGTTCAGATTCTTAGATACAGGCTTACAAAAAAAACAGAACACTAAAAAAATGATAAGAAACAAATATCTTATTATTGAGGAAGTATTAATAGTAAAGTTAACAAAAAAAGATAATAATTTTTTAGCATTTCATTTAATTTTAAAGACAATTTTTCTAATGGTAATTTTACTCTAATAGTTTATCGAATAGTATTATATTTGTATCTCTCTGTCTATTAATAATATATCAAGACTATTTTACAGATTTTTATTTTTTGCAAGTTACAATAAATGTATCTAATGGTAAATAAAAAAAGTCATCACGTCACCATAAAAAATAAAGTCACTTATCTCTTCTTTCTAAACAGTCACCACAAAGATCTTTAAGAGGAATCTACATAAGAAGTTGACATGATATGTGACAAAGACGGAGCTTGGGAAACATGTTAACGTGATGATAAATGAAGAAAGCACCTTTACTCAAGATACTAGTTAGGATAACTGAAATAATCAGGACTACAAAGAGCAAAGATTTCTATGATCTGGATAAAGCAAATTAAATGATACATTTATTGAACTCTCCCTTGTTAAAGCTCTATTTATTTTTACTTTTCATTGTTGTGAGAGTAGACTGAAAAATACAAATAAATTTAATTGAGATCTCGATATGAGTCAGTATATAATACCGGAGAAATAAATTTATATACAAAAATTTTGGGTAATTTTCTATTATGTCTAATAAAATACACATATATCCCTCAATCTATTTTTTGGCACTTTATATCTGCTATTTTTTTCGTATCCAGTTTATCATTGCACTATGATTCATTAGATATTGGATCCTCAATCTTCAATCCTCGTCAGGTACGCGTCAAAGTATCATTGTTAATAACTGATCTTTTTTGTCTCATGAAATGTCAGCTTATGCTGAAGCTTTGCTATGTACAGTATTATTTACCTATATACTCTCATCTACGATCAGTGGAATTTGAATTTAATTCGCTTTTGGCTTATCAAGTCTGATCCAGCTATTCAGATCTCGTGCATCATTGAGATCTTGTTGGGAAATTATTGGAACAACTAATCCATGAGCATCACTATAATCTGTGATAAGTCCCATAAATTATGAAAAAATGAAGCATGTATGAAATACACGATGCTATGACGAATTTCTCTCGTGATGAGAAGGAAGGTTGCCATATAATAAGAGACGCGAGAAGAATATCATGATCTGTCCTGGACAAAGTGATACAATAATCTGGAGTTGAAGGAAGCATAGTTCTCCTCCCTCGAAATCACCCAATGCGACTAAACAGCAAAGAGAATTCAGCTCGTCATCTCGTTCCAGTGATAATTGCTAATCGTATTAAAGTTGATCACGATTATTGGAAATATACCAAAAGATCGAAGTGCAAATGATCCTCACTTTGATTCATTAAGCTTCTTGTACAAACTCTTATAATAGTCCTTGACAAATCGATAACGCAATTTGATAATCTCTGATTCCCATATTAAGACAATGTATTAATATATTTGATATTCTTGATTTTTATCTAGCCAATATGCAAACTATTTCTGAGATTCTGTCCATTCATTTTGTTTATGTTTGTTAAGTGATTCATTTTTTGGTTATCTGCTAAAATAATCTGATTTTGGCTATGTGAGAAGACAGGATCAAAGAAAGATGGTTTGTGCCTCTAGTAAAATGTACATGATATTTGTTTTGGAATGTTGATACCACTAGTAATAAATCCCAGATATAATTTAAAAAATTCATAGCGAGAGATATGATACGAGAATGATGAATTTAGGCGAGAAATTAATTCTTCGAAGAAATAGGTCAAATGGTGAACCAAAAGGTTACTTACTTGGTCTTATTAGATGGTTTTTATACTTTGGAGATTCATCGAAGCTAAGACTTCGAATTCTGTTTCATAAAATAACTAACCAAATCTTCAAATATCTTCAGCTGAAAAGCAAGAGACAATGATCACTTTGCAACGTGATATTTACACGGTCGTAAATCTACAGAATGTATAAATAATACATAATGGAAATTCTTACATAATATACAGATTTAACAAACGAGATAACTCAAGTTGCTCCCGGCGAAATAGTTTCCTCTTCTTTTTTAAGTCTGTTCGACTGGCCATCCCAAAATCAATCACACACATATCACCGTTGTCATTAACCAAGATGTTTTCTTCTCGAATATCATTGTGAAGAATGCCGTGTTCGTGAATTGCCTTTAATGCCTCGAGGGCCTTTGATTTTTGCTGTTTCGTTATGTTATGGTGGCTCAACGCAGTACCAACAATGGTCATACCGATAACGAAGCTCATCCCTCCTTCATAATAGCCATAACACACCAATTTTGGTATATATTTCCCCTGAATGTCGGCTAGGTCTTTGTAGATTTCGATTTCTTTTAGCATTTTATTCAAAAAAATTGCATTCTTATATAGGTCGATGCTCTTCAAAGCAATCAGCTCTCCATGGAATTTGCATCGGAGTGTCTTTCCAGTTTGTCCAACGCCTAATATATCCTTAAATTCAAAGTCCGCAAAGTTGAAGTTGTTGAAATTCTGCGATTCTATTATTGGCTGATTTTCTGGGGAAGACGATTGGCTTGAGCTAAGTGGACGGAAACTATAATTATATTGTTTTTCGTTCATCATCTGAATTATGAGAGGATTGTGGGAATGAAGATTGTCTTTTGCTTGCAAAGCTATATATGCATAAGCCTTAAGTACCGGAGGAGATGTCGACTGCCATGAAAGAGTTTCTGAAATATAAAGCACTTCTGGCGTTTCATCCGATCGACGTATAAACCAGTGGGAATCATAGGTGGCGAGTATACCATATTGAAGTTGATTACCCGTCATATATTTATAAATTTGCCGAATTACCGTCTTTGCTTTTTTATTATTATTGTAAAAATCTGGAAATTTCTGTCGATTATTGATTTTTAAAATATGTTTTCTTTTGATTTCGATTACCAGGATCAAGATCGCCTGATAAAAGGCATTGAAATCTGGTACTCCAGGGGCAAAAGTATTTCGTTGCGAATATTTGTAATGCGGTCCCATAAGTTTATTCAATACCTGACAAATGTTAACATACACAGCAATGCGAACATGTTCTTCATTGGTAACATCATTAAATTCATCATTAAATTTCGGCCTTTCAAATTTTGGTTGTTGATCAAAGCGGAACCGATTTACTTCATCGAAGAATCCTTCCCAGAGCAATACTTTTTTCGGTAGACTGCCATGTGTTTCTGTAGATGATGTCGAGCTAGTAGCATCCAGAGAATACGTGATAGGTGGCAGAATACATGACAATGCCTCTTCCAAGCTGAGAACTAGAAAACAAAGACGCGGTGTTTGACGATAAGCAGGAAAGAAAGAAAAGCACAAGATTAAGTATTCGATATTATTAGCAAATATGACACAGCGCGGGCGGGGTGAAACAACGGCTATCAAAAGTTAAGCCACATTATCCTATATTGCATATTATGTGCTCAGCA